AATTTGGAGACCCTCGTGAATTGACTGTAACTCCGTATGAAGTGGAGAAATCGTCGTGTGCTACATTTGGAAGCCAATGATCCACTTACCCATGTGAGTTCTGATCACTCCACCTAAACCTGATATTTTTGCACCAACTTTGTATGCACCATCAGTGTTTAGTTTATACTAATGTTTTTGAGGTGTATGTCAAGTTATATTAACAGTCATTTTTGATTGAGGTGGGCCACCCTTTGTGTTTAGGAAATTGAATTCTCTGGCTTGACCCATTAAGGTTTTCAGTATTGGAGGGAAGTTGGTGTTGTTGTAATTGTTTTTGTTCCTGTTAGTCCTAACACCCCATAAAGGAAAGGAAATAGATTACCCCATTCGACTATTGGAGACTTAGTTATGATGTTCAATTCTTTTAAATTGATCAGCCAATGGTTATATCCAATGATGTTTTGGACGCTGATGCCTAAAGATTTCCAAATATTTTCAATTTAGGGCATGTCAGGAAGATGTGTGTAATATTTTCATCTCTACGGCATATAGTACATTTTGGATCAATATTAATACCAATGTGATAAAGATACTGACGGCTAGGGACTCTACCATGGAGACATTGCCAAAGGAAGAATTTTATTTTTTTTGGGCAGTGTAACTTCCATATCCAGTCAAAGTCATGAGCCACCGGATTGGTGTTATTGATTAACTGGTAGCAACTTTTGGTGGTGAAGTGCCCGTTGTTATTAAGGCTCCAAAGAGGTTTGTCAGAATTTCCATCACTACAACATTTTAGGTCTTTAACTACACCTGAAAAGCGTGACTTAAACTATCAAAAAGTGTGGCATTTGACCAAATGCCACACTTTCGGACCTGCACCACACTGACAGCCAACTCATTCTCTAACCAAACAAAGTACTCACATCATTTCAAGTGATGTGATCAAGTTGTACCAAAGGGGCTTTTATACAAAACATCACAAACAGGTTTCAGTTTCATTTTCACTCAAGCATCAAGCAAAAACAGAAAAGATCATTCTCTCAAGCTTGAAGAACAAGGTTGAACGCCACTACGGACCAGTTCCTAAACGATTGATTATTACTGTCCTAGTTGAGTTGTAACCTTGTTATTGCACTTACAATATCTCCTAAATCTCTTACTTAGAAGTTTTACTCATTAGGAATCCTCTTGTAAATCCTCAGACTCGTTGAGTTTAGGTTGTGGCTAGATTTAGTCATAAAGAAAAGTCTTTGTAATCGTAGGGTTATAAAGTGGCTTGTGGTGACAGCACCACAAGTTAGAAAAAAAAGCCTTTGTAACTAGGATAGTCACAAAGTGGCTTGTGGTAAAGGTACCACAAGTTAGTTTGAAGTCTTTGCAATGGGGAGTATTGTAAAGTGGCTTGTAATAGGTAAGATTACAAGTTAGTGAATTTAAAAGCCTACAAGGTAGGTCGTGGTTTTTTGATCCCCTTGTGCGGGATTTTTCCACGTAAAAAATCCTCTGCCTCGTTTACTTACTGCTTTATTAAGTACTCTCAGCAGAAACTTGTAGAGGACCAGGTACTATGAGATTTGGTGGATCCATACAAACTAACAACCCTTAATGAGAAGCTTTTATAACCACACAAAAGTCATGGCCCCACAAAGCTTTACCCCTTAAGCTTTTAAGACCACAAATTTCAAAAGTATTTCTTTTTTTCCTTAAACTCCGTGCCGAGTCAAACTACCTCATTTAATTTGAAACGGATGGAGTAATTAGTTTCGAAATCTGACCCCAAATGGAGGTCTAAATTCCCAATTTTTGCAAAATCCCCAATTCTTCTAAAAATCCCTAATTCTACCATGAATGAACAAGATTTAAGGCTAGAAATCTAATGGGTGTTGATGGAAATTGAAGGAAGTGAGTTGAAGAACACAACCGATGATTTGGTGTTGAATTCCCTCTTCAAGAATCTCCCTAGATTGAGTTCTAATGGAAGAGATATGAAATTTTTTAAGAATCCCGTGTTTGGTTCTGTTTTAAAATCATTGGACAGGTCTTCATCGCATTCGCGAGAGACCTATCGTGTCGCGATGCACTGCGGCCAGAATGGCCTTCACGTTCCCGATGGTTTGTTCCCCCCTGACCATCGCATTCGCGGGCCTAGGACCGCGTTCGCAAAGAACAACTCATGATTCCCAGCCCACCTCCATTTTACTCCACGCGTTCGCGTGATGTCGGTCGCTTCGCGAAGAGCAGCCCCCCAGTGCTCCACTTCCGCGATGAACAAACCCAACCCCATCCCAGATTACACTTTGCATCGCGAGAGTGGCTTCGCGACCGCGAAGCACAAAATGCCTGTACACCAGAAGCAGCAACTTATACCAGATTTTCGAAGTCTAAAACATCCCGTAGCCTATCTGAAACTCACCTAAGCCCTCGGGGCTCCAAACCAAACAAGCACACAAGTATTAAAACATCATAAGAACTTGCTCGTAATCAAATCGCCAAAATAACACCTAAAACTACGAATTTAGCACCAAATTGCATGAGAGTTTCAAGAAAGTTCAAAAACACCTATTTTCTCAACCAAGCCGGATCACGCCAAATCAGTCCCGTTTCTCACCAAATTTCACAAATATGGTACAAATATCATAATGGACCTGTATCGGGCTCCGGAACCACAATACAGACCCAGTATCAACAAGATCAATTATTAACCAAATTCTTAAAACCTTTATAATTCCAATTTTACAATTTTTATCAAAAATTTATTTCTCGGGCTAGGGACCTCGGAATTCGATTCCGGGCATACGCCCAAGTCCCATATTTTACTACAGACCCACCGGGATCGTCTGAACACATATCCGGGTCTGTTTACGCAAAACGTTGACCAAAGTCAACAAAAATTAACTTATTAGGCCAAAAATTATTATTCCCTTAGTTTTTCACATAAAAGCTTTTCGGATATACGTCCGGACTGTGCACGCAAATCAAGAAGAGATAAAATGAGATTTTTAAGGCCTCGGAACACAGAATCAAGTTCTAAAACAGAAGATGACCTTTTGGGTCATCACAAGTTGTAACTTTGTCAAAGCTCTTACTTGTAATTCCTACTTAGCTTAATTAGAAGCATTGTGTAGGAAATCCTTTGTAAATCATAAACCCTTGTGTTTGTGTCTTGGCTAGAGTTATTCGAGTTGTAAAGTCTTTGTGATAGAGTTATTACAAAGTGGCTTGTAATAGGATTATTACACGTTAGTGAGGGATTAAGAGGTTAATTCCTAGGTTACAAAAGGTTGTAATCTAAAAGTTTGCCTAGTAGTGAAGTTGAAGTCCTACAAGGGTAGGTCGTAGTTTTTGATCTCGTGAGCTGGAAATTTTTCACGTAAAATTCCTCTGTGTCATTTACTTCCTGCAGTATGCGTGTGTTCTATGGAAACTAGTAGAGAACCTGGTTCTCTATATAGTTTGGTGGACCCTCAAATTCTATCACACTCCTATATATATTGAATTTTGAACACCATTGATATTGGAATTCTTTCGCCCCCATAGTCAATACACAGTCAAGAGTTCATTAGCAGAGGATTTGTTTTTGAAACAAATCATGAACACACAATTGTTCAGGTTGTCATGTTATGGAACAAGTTTAGTTATCACATATGGCTGATGGACTGAGATGGCTGGATAATTTCTATTACTACAAGGTACTGAAAGGTTGCATAAATTCCCTTTAGTGTGGCGTTTGATCGGCTTAAGCAATTCTAAATTCTCAGATCAATTCTTGTTGTTAAGTAACTATATTTACTTTCTAGATGGACATCTTCAATCATTTTGATAAGAAGTAGAGCCATTGAGACTGTACAAGACCATCACACAACCACTTTATTTTCCAGATTTTGAGTTTTGCGGGATAAAAATTCAACCAAACGTAGACATGAATTATATTTAAAAGAAAATTGTTTTGATCTCCTACTTACACAAATATTTTAAAATTTCACCATTTTTTGAAATATTAAAGGAATATTTGCAAATACTGATGTTATATCCTGCAAATTAATATTGAAGTTCAGCGTTTGAATATTTTAGGCATGTGTATGGGAGTGTTCTTCAACGTTTTAAGTACTGCACATTTAACCCTATGTTCCTAACGCGTGGCTTATGATGGAATCATGGAATAAACTTAGTTTTTTGGGTTAGTAAATTATTTTATTGACTAGGAATCATATTCCCCACATTTACATCAAGTGGCAAAGTGGAAATTATTAATTTATCTCTAACTGAGGAATCATAATCACACTGTAGCCTTTTAATGTTTCTAAGACCAAATCAAAACAGGCTTACAAAAGACGCTGAGCTCTACGTAAATTAACGTTTCCACAACCAAGCTTGGGTATTCGAGTATATTTTTTCTACTTATATTATAACCACAATTTCAACGTTTAGCCACTCTTAAAAAAAGGGGGACCCAAAGCATTTCTTCTACTTATAATACTAAATAATGTTCTTTCACCTTTTCTTCAACATATGACCCACTGAAAAAGTTGAAGTAAACTTTTACATGCGTGGGCTCCATGTGATAGACAAACATGTTAAGATTATACTCTTTGCGGTCTACAATAAGTAATTTTTCGTCTTTTTTTTGTGATCCAAAATAAGTGATTTTTCTAGATTTCAAGAATGAATTGATTATTTTTTTCCTATATTGCCTTGGAGTAAATAGTGTTGGAGTATGTGTTACGAGTATTTATGTGAAGAGATAGTAAATGTTAATATTGTCAATCTCATTGCTAATTAATGTTAAAAAATAAATTTCTTAATTTATGTGAAAACAACCAAAAAATCACTTATTCTGGACGGAAAAGTATAAAAATTTACACAAACGAGGACCTTTCCTTTAAAGCACGTTCTATATCTTGAAAAAAGTAGTCTTGTTTTCTTATGAACCATAAAATAAGTTGTCTTGGTTTTTTTTTTTTGTTGGCCAACCCATTTGTCCCCACCTTTTTTTGCCAATAAATACCCTTCATCCCTCCATCTAAAATACCCTCATTTCAGACACCCTTCTGCTTACTTAATCATCATTTTCCTTGTTTAATTTCTGCTCTAGAGTTTATTCACAAAAATATGGGTCATGACAGCCATGGGATTGAGAACAAGAAATCAGTTGCTATAGTTGGCCTGAAGATCTTAATTAATCAGAAGCTTTTTCAGGGCAAGGCAAATCCTAATAATGTTTCAAGATTCACTAGAGTCAAACCCATCTTCCACACAGATCATACTGAATCTAGCAGCAGTGAACAAAATTGTTGCTTCCTCAAATATTGTTTCCTTTGCAACAAGACTCTGAGGCTTGACAAACAAGTTTACATGTACAAGTACGTACTTATATATTTACAAAGACAATCAACTAGCTTAATTTCATTGATTATCCATTTTAATTTGCTAGCTATATATCATTTTGAGAGACACATTAATTAACAATGTTTATATATTGATTAATGCAGGGGTGATTTGGGCTTCTGCAGTTTGGAGTGTAGGAACAGGCAGATTTATTTGGATGAAATTAAAGAAATTGAGAATTGTACTAAGAAAATGTTACGATCTTTTCGCAGCCGTGGAGACGGTGGCCGGTGCAGTGAGACTTCGGCTCTATTGGAGGAATACAAGCAACGGCGCAACCCCTTGTCAAATTCCAAGAATCGACCTATATTCACATTATCATAATTTATTCTCATAATTCCGTAAAATATTCATTCGATATTCCACGTTAAAAATATCATCGCTATTGTTGGTCCCACTATTAGATAAAGCGATTTGTACCGGGTGAAAATGTATAGTTGACGTGACACCATGAGCTGTTGAAGATGTTGACGTGGGTGCATCAGTCCGTGAAAGTCTCCTACGTGATAATAATTGATGACGAGGATGATTTTAACTCTTACTTTTCTTTATCCATTTTTGTATTTTCCAATGTTGTGTAGATTTCCGAAGTAAAGAGTACCAAAACAAGTAAAACTCATGTATTATATACGAGAAAATTGTTGTTACTTTATACATATTTCAAGCACTGATCTAGTTGCTTTGTCAATTTGAGCTAATTATTTTCATCGTGATTATTGTTCCTGTTCGCATTTGACTTTAACCATAAAGAGTAAACCCGATTACGTACAAAAGAGGCGGTTCCTTCTTCCATAATCAGAGCTCAAAGAAAGAAGAGATAAGAGATCCTTACGGAGAATTTGCCAATTTGGTCAGAAATTCATAATAGAATGATCATAACGACCGAAATAATTATCTCAACTTCATGCATAAGGATACTAAATTACCTAATCAAAAGATTGAAAATCGTCACAAACCTTTATTATTACTTTTCTATTGTAATTTCTGAATTATTTATATTATAATGATATTTGAACTTTCAACTTTCATCTATAACCATATATATCAACATATCACATTCCACAAAAACAGAAAGGGGAGAGAGGGGAAAAATCGTTAATTTCACGTATGATCATTTAATTTTATAAGTTTATATTGGATAAACTCATAAACTTATTTTTGTCACATTAAAATAAGTGAGTTTTACCAACTATAGTAGTAAAGTCAGAGTCATCTTCCACAGCTGGCCTGCCTCAAAACGGTCTTTCACATTCAAAAGTCTGTCTTTATCTTTTATTGTTAATCTGTTGTATCTTATTTATTTCTTAAATGATCTTCTTAAACTTGTATTGGGCCGAGTAATATATGAACAATACAATCAAGATTCTTAATAACAACTGGATGTGAAAAAGTAATGTACATAACAAAACTTTGCAAGCTTTTTTTCTTTGAAAGCTATTCTTTTGGTTGAAAAGACAAAATTGAACGTCAAATAGAGCTGTGGCTGGATGGAGGCCATTGATTGATAAGTACTTTTATAATATATGTTGATTGATGAATATAATGTATAACTATACGCACGTTTTTTCTCTAAGAGTCATAAATAACGCAAAGGACCTTTTATCAAAATATCTTATACTTATTTCATATTAAAAATATCTAACATGGTAGTTGGAAATATGTGGTTTCCATCAATTTTTCTTAGCCTGTAGAGATTATTAATTGTTGGTAATCTGTGTTCGAAACCAGAAAATCAGAGGAAAAGAAAACAATAATTCAATAAATAAAACGTAAAACAATTCGAGCCAATAAGTTACTTATGTGTCCTTAAGGAATTTAATCCTCTCACTATATTGTCCAAGTTATGGATTACTTCCTCCCAGGATTGAACGGAAAAAATATTCTATAATACTACCAATCGAAATTACAGAACTTCAGCGAACTCAACAAACGGAGCAAATCACACTTGACACTTTATTTTATTTTTTTGAAAAACAATGTAACAATGTAGAAAAGAGGGGAGAAGTTTTCAGATTTTTCATGTATAAAAATGAGACCAAGCCTCTAAATATATAGAAAATGAAACAGTGAGGTGTAGAGGTGCAATTCAAAAGGTGCCTCTTCCATTTCTCGTTCACACCCTTTAGAAAATACCCAACAATCCCCCACGTGAATGGGGAATGGTCATATGTATAAAAACATGTATGAAAACTGCGATTCGCAAGAAAGGATTAATCGCATCTGGATAAGTATGTTTCGCTTGAGCTTTCCGTAGTGAGCTTATGTCGAATATACTCAATCAATCGGTAGATTTGATATCTTTGTACCGTCGAGTTTTGGTGTATACCTAATCAACCATAAGTCACACAATCAGTTTAACCGTCTTTGGTTCTCATTGTTGTGTTTGTTTCAGCCATGGACACCGCCTGATTTATAAGTGCATAGAGAACTGGCCTTACTAAATTCTCCTTGAAGCGGCTTACACTTCACACTTACATAGGTAATTCCTAAACGTGTAATCCCGTAGATACACTATTTGATATACCATGTATCAATTTTAGAAACTATTAAAAAGCCTTAACATTTTATCCTTGATACTGAACATTGTCTTATCACGAGAACAGACCAAATATTTTTATTTGAAAAATGTTGAACCGTTTTTAATGACTTTGTTTGATCTCCTTGAACCTAGATCTTGGGATCTCCAGTCTTCTAGGTAGAGTTGCCGCCACAATGACTTGTCCTCTGCCATAGTCTCATTTCCCTCGATGATCTTTCAACTACCTCTCTAGTTAAGCTTTTTGTAAGTGGATCCAACACATCGCTTGACTTCACATAGTCAATTATGATAGTCCCTTATAGAGTAGTTGTCTAACGGATATATGTCTTCGTCTTATATGACGAGATATTCTGTTATACATAAAGCTCCCAGCCCTTCCTATTGTCGCGTGACCATCGCAATGTATGCACATAGGTACCAATATTTTGGGCTAAAAACTCCGTAGCCATTCAATTTCTTCACCGGCCTTGTCTAAGGCTATAAACTCAACCTCCACGGTAGAACGACAATGCACGTTTGTTTGGACGATTTTCAAGACACTGCTCTTCCACTTATTGTAAAAATATATCCACTTGTGGTTATAGTTTAGGTTGATCCGGTGATCCAATTCGCATCACTATACCCCTCAATAACCGCAGGATATTTATTATAGTGCAACGCATAGTCATGAGTATATTACAAATATCCCAAAACTTATTTTATTGTCATGACAGTTCAATGCAAACTTCCTTATGCCGTAGACTAATACGTCTCGACTTTTTATTGCATATCAGATTATTGACTACACTTAATGTATCAATAGTAAATTATAACAACAGCTAGAATGATTGGCATCAGTTGTGGCCACAATATTTTAAATGTAACATATTTCGCAACCACTCCGCTATTTTCAAGCATTTGTATGCTATTTATTCATACGTCTATACGATATGCAAATTATAGCACCTTCATTCATGAAGCAAATCCAACTTGCTATGAATTTTTATCATTTTCATTGGTTGGTTCATTGTATTATAGACCAACATATTAATACATTCGTTCATGAACAGTCATGCCCATACAAAAACGTACAGACATATCTTTTCATGAAAAGTCACAACCTTCATAGTGACATCCTTTCATAAAAGAACTAAACATTTTAATTTTTCAAGAAAGAAAACAACCTTTTGAGAAAGGCACTTGACCAATTTCCGAACTGGTAGTTTCATCAACAAGTCTTCACTAAGACTGAACAAGTAATGAGTTTACCGACTACCATATTGATTTTCACTGTTTATGGGAATATAGACATCATGTCATGCATAAGCTAAACGCACCCACATTTCAAATATTTCATGTGCCTTTTCTATTATTCACAACATATCATCCACATGACACTATTAATTGGCCACATTTCGTATGTCATTATTTGGGTGCTTGTTTTAGTCTGTAAAGTGACTTAACAAGTCTGCACACCTTTTTTTAACCTGTAGGAACCACGAACCCTTCAGGTTGTTCCTTATAAATTTCTTCCTCTAAATCTCAATTTAAAAAGGTTATCTTTACAATCATTTGATGGATTTCAAGATCATACACTGTAGCCAATGCTTCTAACATCCATATATACGTAATACGCATAATCGATGAGTATGTATCAAAATAGTCAAGACCTTCTCGTTGTCTATACCCTTTGACAACAAGTCTCGCCTTATATTTATCAATACTGCCATCATCTTTCATTTTCCTCTTAAAAATCCATTTAGAACCCAACGATTTATTTCCAAGAGGAAGATCAACCAATTCCATGTATGGTTGTTCAATATGAATTCTATTTCACTATTGACTGCCTCTTTTTCAATACTATGCTTCCAAGGAAGACATTGCTTTTCTGAAAGTTTGATGCTCATTTTCCAACAAAAATGCCGGAAAATATGGTCCAAAGAAAGTATATGTCCTTTGACGTTTACTACGTCTTAGATTCACGGCATTAGGTGTAATTTTCTTTGCTTCTTCCCGAGGTTGCTTAGATATTTCACTAGACGACTCACATTCCTTTTTATACGAATAAATATTCTTAAAGAATTCGGCAATATCTGATTCGATTACCGTATTAATATGAATCTCGGGATTTTCTGATTTATGAACCAGAAAATGATATGCCTTACTATGTGTTGCATATCCTATGAAAACAAAATCAATAATTTTCGGTCCGATCTTTACCCTTTTAGGTTTGGGAACTTGCACTTTAGATAAACACCCCCATACTTTAAAATATTTTAAGTTATGCTTCCTTCCTTTCCATTTTTCATATAGAATGGATTGCGTTTTGCTATAGAAAACTCGATTGAGTATTCGGTTAGCTGTAAGAATAGCTTCCCTCACAAGTTCCGGGTAAACCAGAACTTATCAACAAGGCATTCATCATCTACTTTAACGTTCTATTTTCTTTCCGCAATTTCATTAGATTGCGGTGACGAAGGAGCTGTCGTTTGAGGAATAATACTGTATTCCAAACAGATTTCTTCAAAAAGGGGATTCACATTCACTACCCCTATTACTTTGTAGAGCCAACCATAAAAAATGTTGTTTTTGTCACGATAAAGCCAGAATTAATAAATGGTGAAGTTTTTAATCTTCAAACCAATCTGACATATTCAGAATTAATAAACGGTGAAGTTTTTAATCTTCAAACTGAGTAATTTATGACACAATCAAATTCAATAACGATGAAGTATTTAATCTTCAAACGGAATAATAAATTGGAGTAGAAAATCACTAAGATTTTAATCTCCAAAAGAAGTATAAAATCACTTAGACTTTAATCTCCAACCAGAGTAGAAAGCCGCGAAGACGAATTTAATCTCCATAAAATAAATAGAACGTCATGATGATTTTAATCTCAGAGATTGAGTAGAAAATCATGCAGATTTTAATCTCCAAATGGAATAGAAAATCACAATTATATTTTTCTTTTCCCTTTTCAAATGGCTTTCCAACTAAACCATTATAATACTTAAACGGTTTGATCTCTTACTCTAATCAAAAAAATATATGTACAACTTTACATATTATATTCATGACTCAAGAATATTTTCAAGTATTAGTGTAAGCCTAATTCATAGTTTACAATCTTGAAAATAATCACTACTAGAAATTCGGGTTTTAGTGATCACGAAAAGG